TTGCTTCTCAGACTGCACAGCCGGAAGCTTTTCCAGGTGTTTTGTCCCATTCCGCCAGGCAGTCGGCTTGCTAGCATCGTGAAGTTCGTTTCATCTCCTGAAGGAATTATCAGCCCATTTTTATTACGCAAAAGAGCATTGGGAAGGCATTAGCTATTTCAAAATGTCCTTGATTTGGGTTCACTAACTTCAATCACCACAGTTGTCGTACTGACGAGGTCCAGTTGTGGTAGTGGTAAGAAATGTATACGACTGAATGGGTCGAAACACTTCTTACCATTATAATAGTATCAAAAATTTTCTAATTTTTATTTCCTTTTTTCTCTTTATTTCATTCCTTCTTTTTATAACTTTCTGTTAAGCATTTCGAATGTTGCCACTTCTAAACTATCTTAGCAGCCTGAAGATATTTTGGCCCTGCCCTACTGAATCCTTTATTTGCAGATAGATTTAATGGCAGTGGTGAAGCGGCGGAGGAGTTCCGTACATTGAAATTAAATGGTCATGTTGGCTTTGATTCGCTTCCACATCAGCTAGTTCGAAAATGCACCGAACGCGGGTAACATCTTTTTTCAAAATTCAGCATCCTCCATATTTATTTCAGAATCTCCAACTTCGCATTTATTCTGCGAAATGTTGACGCCCCAAAAATTTCAGATTCCAATTCAACTTAATGTGTGTTGGCGAAACGGGCATGGGTAAAACAACATTAATTGAATCGCTGTTCAACATGAAACTTGAATTTCATCCATGTAATAATGAGCTGAAGACTGTCGAACTGCTTTCAAGGACATACGGTGAGTATCGGGAAAGTTACCGAATGTTTTTGAGACCTTCCCTGAGCTCCAGCAGCTGCATTTTGACCCAAACATCTTGGTCTGCTAATTTCCTGGTTTTCTAGCCATCCATTATGCTTCTTCCGGGCGTCTGTGAATTTTGGACCTGTAAAAAGTAACTTTTAATAAATTTCAGGGATCGTAACGAAGCTGCCTTTTTTGAGTTGTGCCGAAGTAATCTCTTCTTGTCCCCTTTGCTCCCTTCGAATGGACTGGGTTTTTGAATCCATAAATTTCGTTTTTGAATCTACTCTGATACCACTCTCCTGTCATTTGCTCTGCTGTTTGCGGTTCTCGCGGGACCTCTGGGCACAATAACGAAATTTCTCTGTGAGCTATGTTATTAATGCTGAACTCAATTGAAGTACGGGGCGCTGTCGAAATTCAAAATTCCCAGCGTAATTTGGTGCAAACTAACATTGAACCGAACAACTCCGCTGCGTTGCGGCAATAAAAGCGGATTAGGCACATTGGGGTTCAAATCCTAGCAGCTTCAGGGGTTAGAATTTTACACGTTGCTAGCTATGTGCATCTCTCTACTAGCTCCTCTTTCATGCACGGGCTTTATATGCTCACAAAAAACATAATTTTTTAATAAAGGAACTCTGCACAAATTTGTGCTACTAATCAGCCTTATTTGCAGTTTCATCATCTTTCCCGTTCCAATCGATTTTAACTTCATTAAAATGCTTCTCGAATTGCAATCTTTCAGATGTAGTGGAAGGAGGAATCCGACTGAAGCTGACGATTGTCGAGACGGCTGGATTCGGCGATCAGCTTGACAAAGACAAAAGGTCATTGAGTTACATTTTTTTTTTTTAAATCCTTTGTTGTTGACGATGAAAAAAATAATTTGTTTTGATGACTTTATGCAGACATTAACCGTAATTGCATCGTGATTCTCCGATGTTTAATTAGAATCTTCCCAATTCGGAGTGTTTTCGGAATTGCCAGGAATGTCCTAAAATCAAAAAGATCCCAAGATATCCGGCTATAATTTTTTACCCGCATTCAAATAAATCAATCATGA